AGAATCCTATTGCTTTTTTTTTTTTTGGTGAGGAAGATCGGCCCTGAGCTAACATCTGCCAATCCTCTCTTTTTGCTGAGGAAGACTGGCCCTGGGCTAACATCCGTGCTCATCTGCCTCCACTTTATATGGGACGTCGCCACAGCATGGCTTGACAAGCCGTGGGTCAGTGAATGGCCGGGATCCCAACCGGCGAACCCCGGGCCGCAGCAGCAGAGTGCGCGCCCTTAACCGCTTGTGCCACCGGGCCGGCCCCAGAATCCTATTGCTTTGCTTACATTCAGGAAAAAGAACTTCTCAAGAAATTTTGGAATATGTGAATTTGAAAAGAAGAAAGAACATTTGTACTCAGATAAGGACAATGCATGGAACATCATGCTTGTTCCAGGATTACTGCAACATTTTCTTTCAGGAAATTTAAACATTTTTCAGTGAATCAATGACCTCAGTTTCTTGAAGTCAGACTTGAGAAACAAACTGAATAGACCTGTGAGAAAACGCACATCTAAACTAAAAGGCAGCTGTTACCACCTCAAGAGTGATGTGAACAAAATGATCAACATCCTCCCAAGAGACAGCGTAATATCAAAAGTGCTAAGTGGAAGTGGTCCCCTTGTGACTGAAGGTGTGGTCTGCGCACAATTTCCAGATAAGAACAAGGTCATGGCACTTCAACAGTAGCAGCACTGTTAGTTACATGTGACATTTGAAAGATGTGACAACCATCTCAATCTACTCAACGACACACGGTAAGGGTGAAATTTTATGAACATTGGTTACCCTATGTTGTATTAGAAAATGAGCAAGGAGACAAATTGATGGATTAAAAGATAAACTACTCACAGGCAGACAAACGAAGGACAGATAGAGTTACAATCAAATGTGTAGCGCCAACTGATGTGTCTACTAGGAAAGCCTTGAACATAGAATTTTCAGGCTTTGTTTTTAATTTAGTTCCTCCAGTGTCATGTTGCATAACCTGGGATAACACTCTAAAAGTCTCTATGACACAGTTTTCCATCTGTTAAATGAGGCTAACAATATTTTCATATGGCTTTTTCAAGGTGAAAGACGTGAAATATTTGGAGAACTCTGGAAGAAATACCTCCTATTAATTGGAGCTCTTTGACATGCCATCATTCTCTTCAGTAGTTGGAGTTCAGTCAATAGACAGATATACAGTGTACACGTGAAACTATGAAGCATCAGAAAGCAGTACCTTGGGACCTTGGGGGGCTCTTTGCTGAAAAGGGTAGTTGGCTATCTTTGTGGAAGTAATTTAGACATAGGGTGAGGAAGGGGGCATTTTCTAGATCCTTTCCAGTCCTTACTTTCTATGGCTCCTAATTTCTCTTTCCCATTTAGAAAAATACTAACTATGAGACCCAAAGGATAGAGATGGAAAATAACACTCTGTGCCCTGAAACTTTACTTTCAAAAATACCATAGCATGCCGGAGGAGACAGTCTTGATTCCTGTAACTACACAAGCTGAGCTCCCCCTTGAAATGATCTCACCTGCCATTTTTCTTTATATGAACTCACTCCTTATGTTACTTTTTCCACACATAGCACAAAGAAATAACAGAATTTCTGTCAGGAAACTGGATTCATTCTTCCACTGCTGCTGCTTCTGTGCTTCATAAAACTGGGAAGCCATACACACTCATATTTATCTCTCTTTTCTGGAAAAGGCCCAAATGAGGCCAATGTTGGATCATTTTCGACAATGGGACAAACTTGAATTGGGAATGAGCTTTGGGATCAGTAATTGGCCTGTTGTGATGAAATGGACCTTATAGAAGGCTCCCTGGCATTCTCTCCTGGCTAACATTCTACTACCACCAACTAGGATATGGTCCAGCGTTGCTCCACACAGACTGTGTCCTTGGGATCATCATCTCTCCCTTTCATTTGTCTCCTGACATCCCTCCACCCAAGATTTCTTCTTCAACACAGGAAGTCATCTCACTTAAAATTTCAAATGACGTTACTACATTAATAGAGATATTAGGGTGCAAACTAGACAGAGGTAGGTAATGATAGGTAAAATCTCATTTCTCCTTTGAGCTTGGCATGGGACAGCCCAATAACCAGATTTCTAATAGGTTTTTCTAGATTTCACTGCCCACTCAACTTGCATGTTTCTGCAATATGGATGTTCTTATTATTCAGTCCTTACTTGCATCTGTCTTTGGTTCTAGGATAAAACTACTCAAACCTTAATTTAGACATTTGATTCTCCCTTGAACTCTTTGGGGAAGGAGTTCTTATAAAATGGATTCCTGAGACCTTATACTAGACTCAGGCCAACCCGACAATCTGAGAATTAATTTTCCTACTGCTCAGAAATATCTCTGAAATTATCTTTCTCCTCCTGGAGTGCCCTGCCAGGACAAATACTGGAGACTGGGTTTTCTGCTCTCTTTAATTCAATCATTTCTCCTTTCCTCCTTTCTAGCACCTAAAACATTTCTGACTTTCTCCATCCCCCAGGTAATATATTTTCTTGTCTTGTCTCTGCATTTCCCTTCTGTGTTTTTGAAATGCTCCCCACAGGAGTTCTATATTTCTGGGCCGGCCCATGGCTTAGCGGTTAAGTGCGTGCGCTCCGCTGCTGGCGACCCGGGTTCGGATCCCAGGTGCGCACCGACGCACCGCTTGTCGGGCCATGCTGAGGCCGCGTCCCACATACAGCAACTAGAAGGATGTGCAGCTATGACATACAACTATCTACTGGGGCTTTGGGGGAAAGATAAATAAATAAAATTAAAAAAAAAAGAAGTTCTATATTTCTTTCCCCCAGAGGATGCTGACCCTCTAGTTATGTTCACCACCAGTTCAGTGTACTAGTTAACGTTTGAGGCTTTGGAGTCAAACAAACCTAGATTCAAATTCCCACTGTGCCACTTATGGCCTGTGTGACCTGAAGGAGCTTCCTACTCACTCTGTTCTCCAGTGATTAGAAGCTTGGGCTCTTACTAGCTGGGTGACCTTGGGCCAATGACATGATCACTCTCAACTTCACTGTCCTCATTTGTAAGATGACAGTACCTACTTTACAATATTGGTATAAGGAATAAATGTGATGATCAATACAGAAGTGTTTAGCACAATGGCTAAACAAACTAAGCATTCTATAAATATTAGTTATTACCACTATTAGTAATTCAAATTACCAGACTCATTGTGTATATACCAAGTTTCCTGACTTCACTTTGTTCTCAGCACAAATGGTATTATATCTTAAACCCAGACTTCATCATCAGTAGCCAGAGGCTTTCTCTCATGGTCCACATGAAGTTTAGAGTAGAAAGCTGGGGGAGTGAGAAGCATTGCCAGACTTTCACACAGTCAAAGCCATTTATACATGTCTGAATTTGAGTTCTGGTAAGTCCTCACTTGTCCCATCTGTTCTGTACTCTACAGCTTACTAACACGGCAGCTCTCTCCTTAATGCACCAAAACCTAAACGTTGAGATTACGATCCTAAGTAGGAGAGCTACAACTACAAAACATCATGGAACCAGATATCTTCTGTGAAACCACGTGGTGAAGACCACGACGGGAAATTGACATACACACCAAGTACCTCAGGATCCCACAGTGAGGAAATCAGTGCTCCACTTAAAGAGATCCTCAGAGCGGGAGGTCTGACCGCTGCTTCGGTTTCTCCACTGGACTCCAGCTTGTCTCAGTGGAAGTGGCTGATGACCTCCAATGTCTCCTTCCTCCTTTATTGCTTTCAGGTCCATTCCTCCAGAAGCTGAGAGCCCTTCAAAGAGAATATCATCCCAGAGAGAAGTTGTTCCAGATGCTGCAAACTCTTGCTAGAAATTCCAAGAAAGTTTGCAAGCTACGTTTGTAGGCTGATGTTGAGTAAGTCAGAAGCATTCCAAGTACCAGTTATTATACAAGAGAAAGAGTTTAGATTTTAGATTTTGTCTTTTGTGGCGATGGTGATGGTGGAACCCCACCCACTCCCCCAAAAAGGAACAGGAATGCATAGAGGAATACAAATTATTATGACTTGCAAAAATTAAAATGGAAGTTCTAAAGGAAGTGAAAATTGGGAGCTTCATATATTAAAGATTTTTGTTGTTTGAAAACCAAGAGGATGCTGGCAGAAAAGGCTATTTTAAAATCAGCATAGTAATCGAATTTGCCTACAATGAATGTAGACCCAAACAATGATGTTGGTCTGGTAAGGACTTGCAAACCCTAGCAGATCCCCCAAAAAGACCGTACAAAAACGATATTATACTCCTGAGCTTGCGGAAATGGTCAGCTCAAGGGGTTTATCCAGGTCAGTGTGTCTCTATGGCCTTACTTCCAAAGTTGCTATCAGAAGTTAAAAGAAATTCCGTATAGCTACTTTTAATGGAAACTCAGATCGGTCGACGTACACAAAATATGTAAAGCAGTTGTGTCTTATTCTTTCTCACTGTTATAAATGAAGTTAAACCCTTGAAAGTTGTAGACCTTGTGGGGCGGGGGGGGGGGGTCTTCTTTTCACTGATGAGCCCAAGGTATTTCTCCTCTCTAATACCAATAGCCATGGTGACATTTTTCCCTGTCTATACTAAAACTAGGCGTTTACAAACAAAACCCAGAAACATAATTTGCATTCTAATAAAATGATGCTAAAATTATTGTTTTTTACTGTGGCTTTACCTGTTGTCCTGCAGTGCAAGTTCCTATGGGCCTCCTGCTTGGAATGAGTCATTGTAGATGACAGCCAGAGTTGACTGAGGAATCCTGAAACTAGGGACCTGATTCCTGATCCCATCTATGTACCAATGTACTGCATTACTTCCTCTGTATTTACAGTTTGGAAAAGAACGTAGGTGGAGATGTGGGCACATTTGCACAAATGTTCAAACTGCTTTGAAAAAGGAATGGGCAAGAGAGAGTGGTATCTGAGCTAAAATCAGGCAGGCATTTCAGATTTCAAGAGATGAACTGAAAAGGGAACATCTGTTGGATCCCCTGGGTTTGGGGGCAGTCTGTGTGAGTCTTCATATCTCTGAGTGTGTACACATAGTGGAGAGGGTGGAGCCTGCCATCCTCAAATCTGAAAAGATTGAGAGATTTCGGAAGGCCCAGATGTGCCAAAGGTCAGAGGGATCAATATACAGACCCTACCACGGGAAGGGGGGGGGGAGATTCCAATAGAAGACCGCTGCAAAGGGGAAGCCAGTGAGAGGTAAGGAAGTTTCTGAAGAATTAAAAGTTAAGAATAAGCAACCTTAGTTGCCATAGGGGAAGGAGGTGGCGTGGGGGATAAAAAAAAAAAGCAGTTGATGTGGTAATTAAAAATTTGGTGAGTCTGGACAGGTCACCTCCTTTCTCAAGTCAGAGCCCCATTAGAAATTCTTTCAAGTGTCCTTCCGCGTCGCCAAAGATGACAACAGCAGATCAATAAGTGCTTGAAATGAAAGGGGATGTTGGCGAGCCCCTAGGCTGCAGATTTCCCGCCGCCAGTCTTTTCTGAACTCCTAGCGTGCCTTTGCACCGCCTCTTAAGAAGAGCTACATTCTATTCCTATTCTCAGGACGAAGGTAGGTGCTCAGTTAGCATATCTATTAAATGTCGGCTCCAGTTCCAGCTCGCAGATCGCGCGGAGAGAGCGCTGCCGCCGCTCGCGCAGGTCGCGCGCGGGGCAGGAGCAGAGGAGGAGGTTGGCCAGGCCGCCGGCGCGGACACACACCTCTGGGGCTGGCCCAGCTGCTCCCAAGATTTACAGCTTCTGGGTTAGAGCTGGAAGGTCTCTGCCAGAGCAAAGGACCTGAGCGACAGCAGCCACCGGAGCGCCCCTTCCACTCCTCTTATTTACAAACGAGCACAAAATCACTAAAAACAGAGAAGAACCAGCGCTCCAAAATTAAAGCTCAGAATCCCCGGAAACTCCGTTCTGAGTTCCAGGCCTTGGTCTGTTACCCTCCCCTAATATGTCTGGATTTAAGAATCTTTCCAGAGCCCAACATCCCCGGACGTTTTAATTAGGTAATTCATTAGTGAGTCAATACAGACGTTTATATATTCTTGTAGCTCAAGTGGTTAAGTACTAATTTCGAAATGATTATAAAATACCCGAATAGGCAACGCATAGTAATTTTAATTTATATGCAAATCAATTGGTTCATCTTTAATGTCTTTAAAAAGAAAAAAAAAAAAAACATTTATTGTGTTGTAGCGTCGGAGGTACGGATCGAACTGCCTGAATAGACAATTCGGAAACAAGACCCGGACTGAGAGGAAAATGTACAACAGCCAACAAATCAATGATGTTTGAGGCAGTTAAACATCTCTAGCCATTGGTATTTACATACTCGCTTGTTGTCAGATAAGGAGCTGGGGAAATTGCCTGCCAGGGCTGAGATCATAATCCAGAGTGAAGAAAGTAAATGGTAGCACGCAGCCCACGTCACGGCGCCGCTAAAATAAGACTGTACCTTTCCCAAATCCTGACTCTCAGGTGAGAGTGAGTTGGAGGTCACCCCACATTTGTCCTCGGTTTTGCCCCGCTTTGATCACAGAATTTTAATTCTCCCTGAGTTTCACAATTTGATGCTTGTTCTAACAGTTCTGTCACTTGCTTCAAAATATTCAAGGAAGGGGTGTAATTCAGAATCTCACTAAAAATTCTGTGACCCCATTTAGCCAGCACCGCTCTTCCTATGCTAATTTTTTTGGGGGGTGGGCTATGTTTAATTCCCTGTGTCCCCCACACATTAAATAGATAACCGAAAAGACAGAAGGAACGGCTGGGGGAAATGGTCCAGTGCACTGGTTTACTGGAAGGTTATTATCTTTAGACATAGTTCAAAATTTTGGAAAAGTAGAAAGGATGTATACTTCCGGTAAATTTTTTTAAAGATGTTCTAGAACAGTGAGTCTCACCAGGAATCAGCGGAGATCCGCACCGGAGTTGTTTACGTAAAAGTGTAACGTCCTTGAAATGCACAGATGCAGAAGGTCACTGTCTCC